ATTCGTAAAATTGATAGCTTTTGAAAGTGGAAGCGTTATTTCAATATTTTTCTGTGTTAATAAGGTAAAAACCCTTAAGTATGATCGCTAGTTTTTTGGCGAGCGCATTTGTTGTCAACATAAAATTTACAAATTCATGGGTAGGGATGACAGCGATTAATTATTTGATTAAATTAATCGATTATTTTTGTGCAATTTTCGATTTAATTGTATCGTAGGTTTGTGTTTCATTAATCGATTAATTGGAAAATAATTGTAAAAATATTTTCAAGAAATATGAATTCTCTAGTTGTCTAAAATCCATCTATCGATCTTTGGGACCCTCATAAATCTCTTGTACACAAACGAAGGCGAAAAGATGATGATTTGAGTTTTTATTTAAATTGTCAAGCACAAGAACTAAAGACGCTTGGGAGAAAATGAAAACTGTTTACCCAAAACTTTACGGACTTTCAAAAAAATACCGCCATTTAGTTGATACCTCGGTGCCTGCTGAGCGACTTTTTTGAAAAGCTGGTGCTACAGCCACCAAGAAACGCAACCGCTTAACAACAAAACGCTTATTAAAATTTTTGTTTTAGCAGACTTGGTTAAATAATAGAAAAAAAACTTTTGTTTTTATAAATTTGGGTAAATCATTATCGATGCTAAAAATATGTTTGCCTTTAAAAATCCGATTAATCGATTATTTCTCAATAATTGCAATTGATTGCAATTATTTTTTTCTGGCTTGTGATTAATCATATGATTAATTAATCCATTATTTTATTTTTATTTTTTGCTATCCCTATTCATGGGCAATATTTGGGCCTTGGCCCAAAGTCTTGATGTTGTATTTTTCCTGTTTTGAATAAATATTCGGGATATTCACAAGATGTCGCAATGTCTTAAAGTAGTAAAATTAGCCAATGTGAAATAACGGTTGAAATGGTTTTATAATAATATGGGTATAAAAAGACTTATTTATATATTTTCTAACGGTCCAGCAACTTTTTGGTGTAGTCACAAATCCTTTAAAAGCATTTTACATTTAAAATTTGTATAGCTTTGTGACCTTACGCCGCGTACGGCATCTTGTGAATACCCTAATTAAATAAATTTGAAAATTTGCACTTTACAAATGGCGATTCATGGCAGAAATACATCCGGAGGTTTGCCATTGCTTCACCGCTATTAGAAAAAACTTGTATATTAGTCTAGAACTGGGCTCGATCCCAGGCTTTACGGAATGGTAGTGCGGAATATTTTTATATTTTTTTTATGTATGTTACCGAATAATTTCGGACCATATGAACCATTTTTGATCTCTAGGGTGGTCCCATACTAATTTGGTTTATTTCCGGTCATTGGATCATGAAGAAGCTAACGATACTTCTATTTTATTTTATTCTTCAGTCATTTTTTAAGTCAGTGGTTTTTAATTACTTGTTTACTTAGGGCTCTGTATTTTCTTCAGCTTCATAAAAACTCAAAAAATGAGTAGCGCTTTTAAATAAACAGTGTCTTTTATCTAAAAGACTTTCTCTATGAAAGTTATTAGAATATTAAATAGCTTCCAATAGCTCTGTAATATGAAGATAAACGAGAGGGGTTCTTTCAATAGTATTACGTTTACATTCACGTCTTCTAAGGGATACCTTATAAGATATTTCATTTCATATAAAAAAGTAGTATAGTTAGAGTCTAGTACTGAAGGCTTATCCCCACAAAAGATGAGATATAAGGGCTATTAGGCCGCCTATTTTTTCTTACTATTTTAGGCATCTGGATTCATATGTATATGTAGTATAGGAAAGCCCTAAATTATAATTACAACAGGTGTTCGTTGTAATGTTGTACAGAAAGTCCGAAGGTATAGACTTTTTCACATCAAATATTTACCATTTTATGAAAATTTTAATGCCTTTAAAATTGTTTAAATCAATTGAATATCGATTACTTATGTAGATATCATTAATAATTTTTTCCTTTATATGCCCTCTCTCTGACAATAAACCACAACAAACGGTTTAATGTACATTTATTAATAAGTGGTTGAAAAATAAAACAAACAATCGTACGAAAGTACATAGATCAACAGTTTTTCAGCATAATCATATCAACTTACTTCATTATGCAGAAATAAATGTGCTGTCAAAATAATAATACATGCACATCTGTGAAAAGACGCATGCGTTTTAAATTAAACCCTTTCACGTAATATTACTTAGTAATTATTTTTTATTTGCATTTGAATACGTTTATACATGCTATAGCATATCAACTAAGATGCCCTTGAATCGCAATATAAACTTAATTAAGCGCCTCATAGATCCAAACTGAAAACCAAATTCAATCTTTCAGGGGATGTTAAGTACCAAAACGTCGAACTTATAGCAGTAAATGGTGTAAGAAGTCCTTACTAACTCATTAAAAAAGTATAGTAGTCATTTAGTTTCATTTCTTGCAAAAACAATTTGATAAAACTGATGTATGTACATTAGGGTGGTAAAAAAAAAACTTTAGTTCGAATTTTAATGGCATTTTTTAGTAGTTCCCCAAAAGCCCCTAAAATACATTGGGTGACCCATAAAAATCGTAAGTATTAAAAAAGGTAAATAAACAACTTAGTATTATTACTGGAAGTTTACTGAAACAGGGTTTACTGATCGAAAAATATTGATTTTTTTTTCATGTAAAATACATGATTTTGAGATAAAAAACAGCGTTATATTTTTCGATATACATACGTATGTAAACCAATCCTAGGGGTGAGAACATTAAAAGTTGGACTTTTAATTTTTTCACCTGCATTTTCGGACCGCCCTATTGTACATAGATACATACATTATGTAATGACAGTGCTATCACATGAAAAATAATTACTCAGTATATGTACTTGCAAATAAACATCACTTGTTAGTATAACATTTTATAAAGATTTACTAGAGCATGACGCATTTATATACATACATATGTACGTTATGTTGAAATTGGATACATTCCATTTAACATACAAAAATAAGAGATATAATTATTTTTTCTGAAACCAAAATAAAATAAGATAGTATTAAAATATGAATTTTGTATGTTTTAATTTTATAACTCAAGCCATAGAATAAATATGAGGCTTAATGTGATGCTACTATCATCAGCTGAAATTCAAATGACCATACTAAGAAAGAAATCAAAATTTTGCTTTCTGATTGAAATGATGCATTTCATCGAATTACAAAAAATTATGCAAAAAAAGTATTAGTTACGGTCTTTTGCATTTCGGGTGAAAATATGTACAAATGTACATGGCTTTTCTTACAGTTACATCTGAAGTTACCTGAAAACAAGTTTTTGAAAAACCCTATTTAAGAAACGGAAAATAATTAAAAAAAATCTAAAATATGTTTGCAAGGCAATTTCGAAAAAAAATAATTTTTTTGGTTCGACCCTAGGCTTCGCCTTTTTACTTTACCTACATTCAGACATACATTTTTTTTTACCAAAATTTTAAAGAATTTTTGTGAGCTTTAAATTAGTGGCATAAGGGCGGTTCGTTAGGGTGATAAGAACTCAGATCTGGTGGGTAATTACTAGAACGGGGTACTTGGGGTCAATGAACTTTGGTACAAAAAAGTGGCTCCTTGAGACAAGAATGTCGATAACAATTAATCATGTCTTTGAAATTTCAAAGTCCTTTAAAAAAAATCCTATGGCAGCGAGAAAAATTAAAAAAACGCATTTTTTTATAGTTGGTTCGTAGTTTTATGAATATACTGATCTTTTTGATTGAATCTCCTTCTCGCCTTATTCTTGTAGACACTACTAAACAATTATGTATTTATTATTTATTAGTTTTTGCCTGTAGTTTTATATATGTATTGTATTGATTTTTTGTGTGTTTTTTGAAATTTTTTGGATTTTATCGCACGCTGTTATCATTAGCTAAACAATTGAAACTAATTTTGTGAAATATGTAGTTGACATTCCCTGTTCATTAAGTTCGTTAATCTTTGCTTTAAGGCAGAAACGTTCTGATTATCAAAAAAAAAAAAACGCAAACAGTGCAATCACCTTTTTTGGGGAAGGTTTCGTACGCAATCGTCAGCGCAAAAGTTCGTCAGGTTGCGCATCTATAGAAACCTTTGGCCTAAGAAAGAAATTGACGAGATCAATGCTTTGAATATTTAACTTTTTAATACCAGTTATCGAGTATGTAGAAGTGTGGGTCACAAAAGAGTTTTCCCACACACGCAATTTCGAAAGCATAGAAAGCGGCTCTTATAATGATTTATTTCCGAACGAATTTCCGTCTTATAATACTTATCTATCGGCCGATGCACAACAGGCAATGGAAAACCTCCGGGCGTGAGAGAGAGGTATAAAAAACACATCAATCGTTCAGGGGTGGCAGGCAGGCTCTACTGCTACTAAAGAATTCAAAAATGCGTATGGAATTGTGAAATATTCCAGAGAATATCATGAAGCAGTTTCCCAAAGAAATTCCGAAAATTATGTGAATAGAAAAGAACTGAAACTTCAACACCATTTACCAAACATTTATGTTTATTGTAGCTGACCGTTAACTCTACTCTTAATTTAATACTTTATGCGATATTATTTAAATTGTACTAAAAATAAACATCTCAGAGTGGTATTCGATACAATATTTTCACAAGTGTTTAAATTATGTCAATGTGGGAAATCAAAAACATAATTACATATAAAAACACAGCAATTATTATGTAGGCGAGCGCGACACTTAACAATTAAACGGTTTCAATTAACAGCATACGTAGAAATTGTATGTACACACAATCACACGCTTTACGTAAAACACATACAGCTGAAAAGTCGCGTTAATCCAATAAATCACGTTAATAAACAAATGAATGAAATTAATGTATACGAATGTTGCAATTGTTTAATTGTTATGCAAAATAAGTTGCGTAATATTTAAATTAATATTTTATGTCTGTTTACTTATTTATGGTTTACTATTTTTTTTTTTTTTACTATTCTTACAGTTGGAACGAGTGAAAAAAATATCACAATAACAAAGCGACGTACATACACGTACGTTAGGAGCAAAATCACATACTTACTAGCGGGATTGGAAATTCTCATAGCGTGTAAAGTGCTTGAGAGACAAATTAAGGCAACAATATGGCGCTTTTTGGCATGGTATCAGCCGTTTCAGGCTTTATAAAAATTCGTAATCTCTTGGATCGTGCTATCATCGATAATATGGTTTTTCGTTGCCATTATAGAATTACAACAGCGATGTTGTTTGTTTGCTGTATCATCGTGACGGGGAATAATTTAATTGGTAAGTAGTTCTATATTTTCTCAAAAAAAGGTAGTAAATTTACTACAATTGAGGAGTTTGGATTACGTTAGGAAAGCGTGTTTGAATACATCATACATCCTCTCGGAGGAAAGTTTACTCATTGTAAGTGGCCTCTAGAGTGCCAGGATTAGGCGCCGCCCTTCTAGCGAGGCTATTATGAAAATGTAAGCTTTTTGTTCTGTGCATAAAGGAAATAGTACCGCGAACTTTCTGCGATGAACTTTTTCGAAGCACTCGATTGCACTTAGGGCCAGTCTTTCAGTGCAAGGTTAAATTTGACTGTGGTTCAAGCTTAGTTTAAACGCTCGAGCTGCCTTTCAAATATATATTGAGAACAAAGTTTGAGTTTAAAGGGCGGATACATTTCAAAAGATACTTGAGAAAATGAGCCTTACAGGTCTATTCAGCATGTTACCGAAGATTTTGTAACCGGAAAATTTTATAACCAAAAAATGTTACCAGTTCTTGTCACCGCGATTCTAGGTACGTTGTTAATGCAGTTAAAATATTCAGCAATTCAGCTATGAAGAATTGTGCAAATTCTGGCATTGCATATTTCACGGGGCAATATTTTGTTACCAGCTTATGTTACCCCAAATTGTTTGTGTTAAAATATTTTCGTGGCTCCCGGTGTAAACAAAGAATTTGCGATAATTTATATACAAACTTAAATGGCTAAAATTTGTTATAATAATTTGATCCGATTTTATTTCGACTATGAATATGGCCCAATAAGTTTTGAAATGTAAAATAATGGAAGTCTTTATATATGTACATACATACATGGTATAAACAATTTAAATGACTTGAAGACACTTTTTTTGGCTGAGACACTTTTTTTTGTCACTTTCGAAAAATTTTCAGCGGTAACACTGGGACCACCTCTGAAGTACCACCCTCCTTTTAAGAAAATTTAATTATAGAAATCGGATAACGTGGTCGAAAGTTATGCGGTAACATATCGATGGTCCTCGACTGTTACGTGGCTCTTGTCTCTAATCCTTGTCTAATCTATTTCCAACCCTAACTTAAGTGAGCAGTAAGGATTGCTAAAGTAAGTAGGTCCTAAAGATTAGACATGGATTCGGTAAGGATTAGAGAGTTTGTATTTTTTTTAAATTTTGAATTGTGTCGTTATTACATCGATATGTATGTATAAAAAAAGATATTCCACGAACTAATTACTTCCTTCTTTTAAAGTCGGTTAATACGAAATATCGCTCAAATATATTCTAGTTGAATGTCGAAATTACACCTCCATCAAGTGTACGTTTTTGAAATTCTGACCATACATCTTCTCTACATTTTGACCTCCGATGCAAACATATTTTCGGAATAACTCAGACAACATTTCTAAAATTCATAACGTTTCTCACTTTTAGCGAACAAAACACCGAAGTTTTCAAAAACAGATTTGTTTTTGATAAAAGGACTGAGATATCTTCTGTCTATTGGTGATTTTGTTGCTCCCAAAAAATGTTGCCTTTACACGTTGCAAAATGTGTTTGATGCTACAGCCAACCCTGTAAAAAGGCATGTTTTCGCCTGCTTGTCCTTGTCATATTTCATAATTTTTATCGTTTTGCGCAACCACCTCATTTTCAGGGCAACCATCTCCCATAACAAAGCTTCAAAGGGCAGAGAATGTGCATTTTTTGCCCACAAGACCAAGAAAAGAGAAATGGGCAATCAACAGGCGACATTTTTTAGTAGAAACGAAAACACCTTATGTTCGTATCGATGAGTGGAATATCGAAAGGAATTCTTTGGCCTAGAAATAGCAGCCAGGAAGTTTGTGTTGCTGACTTGCCGTTTTTGCATACTGCAATCTCTTCAAGAGCTTCGAACATTTCTGACTGAAGTTCAATGAATGCTGTTACCGCTTTGTCACATTGAGCACTTCTTGTATACTTTTTTTTCTTCCATGTTTTAGTTATTTTGAAATAAGGTTCTTCCGGAACCGTTTCTCGGTTCCTTTGGAGTCGAGTTTCGGTTCTGCAGGAACCGTTTTTCGTTTTTTTTTTTTTTAATTGAGCTTCGGTTCCGTTAGAACAGTTTTTTCGGTTCTTGTAAGAACCGATCGATTCTGTGTTTCACTAGTATGCACCACTAATCGCTGGAGTTCCATCATATCCTTGGCCATAAAGGTACGGACAATTTATACCTACTGCCGAAAGATAGTTCTTGATAACTTTCCTGAAATTGAATAGGTGATACAATTAAAAATAGGGTGGATTACCCGCCCTAGAGTTATTAGTTCACATCCGACTTGTAAGTGAGTGAGTGAGTAGTAAAGATGCCGTATTTAAATCGAATTCCGATTCTATTTCTTTTTTCACTTTCTTATTCCGATCCGATCCGTGTATCGTACCAAAAAATACGACAATCGACATTCGATTTTTTCTCGATAGATTCATATCACATTACATTAGAGAGTTTTAAGGAAATTTGAATTTAAGGCTGGTACAAAAAATTAAGGAGGCTTGGCACCACCCATCTTTCCGATGAATGTACATATGTATGTTGCCAAGTTATCTTACCTTCAATCTGCAGCCACCGATTTAAAGAGTTTTTAATAGATGAGTATTTCATATACATGCATGTATGTACGCTCCCTGCCATTTGAATAGTAATGACAGTTTTCTTTTTGTTTATTTAATATTCATAATTTTTATATAATCTGATTTTTAAACTATAAACAAATAAAAAAAATCAACAAAGGCATTTAAAAGTGAATTATATTTTCAAGAGAAATATCGGGCATTCAGTTGTTTAACCAATTCAATTTTAGTATAATAAAACCCCGTAACCAGTTTTTAGTGGCTGCAAAATGCTACTGATTCATCGGATTTTTTTTGTGCTAGGCATTCTTCATAAAAATATGCGCACTAAAATTATATTTGAAATATTTATAGTTATTGAAAACAAAAAAAAAAATTTAAATCTCTGCATAGGCAAAAAATCAGCATAGGTATATATGTATATAGGAAAAAACAAAATTTCGAAAAAATTACCATTTTGTTGAATGCTCATATCGTTGTCTTAATGTAAAAAAGCCTTATCTCACTTTTTTTAAGTATTTACGGATTTTTAGCTAACTGATAGCTATTGGATAGATCCCGATATGGAAACCGTTGCATGTTTTAAAAATTGCTTACAGTAATGTCTGTTTAGTTTTTTGTTCCTTTAAGAAAATTAAGTAAAATGCGTTATTTGCAAAATATATAAAATGATCTTGGGCGATCGATTTATTTTTTGACGTTGTCTTCCTGCATCGGTTGTTTTGATTTCGATTCGAATCGATTCACAAATCGATTTTTTTTTATTTCGATCTGGCATCTCTAGTGAGTATTTTTCTGTACTGTATTCGGTTTCATGCCTGAAAACATTTGCTATGTCAATTTTGAAAGCAGAATGCACATGTATACATTAGACTGCATCACCAAAAAAAGTTGCGGTTTTTCCGCCAAGAATTACAAAATCTATTATATTTTAAGACGTCCACCAAAATATTTCGCAAACATATTAAGATTTAAATGAGCTGGACCGATTTGAAAATACCTCCAAAAATGGAGTTTTTTATGAATAAAAATAGTTTCTTAAAGAGGTTTCTGAAAAAAGTCCCCTCAGATGACAAAACAGATTAAACTTAAAAAATCTGCATACAAATATTTAAAAATCTTTTCAACGGAATCGTAAGAATGAGATTTTTGATGCTGTTTTTTACCTTTTTCAAAGATTGATTTACGAAAAACTTGAATAACTGGGCCAAAACTATTCTGATTTAGACTTATGGGATCTCAGTAGAAAGGTATTTTCACAGTGTTTTTATTTCTGTGCGAAAAAAAGTCATTCGGTTCCCTTTTTTTTTCAAACACCAACACATCTTAATTCAACTTTGAATGACGTTCGCTCATTCTACCTATCTCTTTCATCCTTTGAATGAGTTTATTAGCAAATAAATAGAAAGGGTGCGAAAATATCTTTCCAATGACACCTCTTAAGTATAAATCGGAAGAGTTTAGGTTCAGTTATTGAAGTTTTTCTTATACCAATCTTTGAAAAAAGTTAGAAAACAGCATTAAAAATCTCATCATTACGATTCCGCTCAATTTTTTTTTTAATTTTAAAAATATTTTTATGCAAATTTTTTAAGCTTGAACCGTTTTGTCATTTGAGGGAGTTTTTAAAAAAAAAAATCTTTAAGAAACTATTTTTATTCATAAAAAACTCCATTTTTGGAGGTATTTTCAAATCGGTCCAGCTCACTTAAATCTTAATATTTTTCCGAAATATTTTGGTGGACGTCTTAAAATATAATAGATTTTATAATTCCAATGGAAAAATAGTACTGATTTTTTTTTTGTATGGGGAGTGATGCAGTCTAGTATACATACATATGAATGCACTCGTACTTTTGCTTCTCGGAAAAATTTCAAAACTTTCAATTTGAGCGTTTTGTATTGATGACGATGATATGCAAGATCTAAAAAGTGTTTGTGCATTTGCATACTGGTAATTCCACCATTTTTTTGTGCATCTACAATGCAAGTCTCGATTAGCAAGTTCACATGCGAAAAATTGCTTTTGAAACACAATCTAAAACTAAATACAAAAGATCTACATATATGTATATTTGTACTGAATAGCGACTTTGTTTGGCGCTAACGATAAAAAGCCTGAAACACTATATAAAAAGTGTCTAAACACTGTGCAAACGAATACAGATATTTGTTGCTTTTTATGCAGCGCTTGGCTATGCGCGTCAGACAATAATCAACTTTCACCACATACAAGCTAACCGGCATAAAAATGTTTTTTTTTTTTGGAGCAGTGTCATAGTATAACAACGCATGCGCTTGCCATGACGTCCGTAGTACCTGGCCACCACAAGCGGTGCATCGTTGCATCGGCCATTTCAGCTCGTTTTATACCTTTTTAAGGCGTTAACTGCTAGGCACACTTAGTTTAAACGATTA